CTCTCGGTGATGGCGGGCTCGACAGCTCCTACTGCGGTACAGTCGCTGATCCAGGGCATTGCCAACTGCGCTCAGATCCCCGCGCAGTTCAAAGATGGAGCCACGGCGCAGCTACGCAAGCCCAAAGGTGATGGCACCAACGCCCGCGATCACTACAGGACGCTCAACATCCTCGACCACCTCGGCAAGGGTGTCTCCAAGTTCATGACCCGACCATTCAGCAGACAGGCTACCGCCAAAACCGAGCCCACCCAGTCCGGGGCCACGGCGAAGCGTGCCAGTCGAGATGCCACGGCGATGATTGACGACATTTCGCCGCTTTCGGGTCGGGGCCAGACACTCCAGGTCGGGCAAAACTATGGTGGGCGTCTTGGTTGTTCTGGAGAAAGCCTTCGGCCTTCTGCACAGGGATGCCATCTGGTCCGAGGTCCACCGCCTGGTCGAGTCTGCTGGTTTCACCCTTCTGCGTTCCGAATTGCACAACAGCGCCTGCCACTTGTTTCAGGGCCCGAAGTCAGGCCGAGCGGCGGCGAAGCTAGCTGTCCAACTGGGGGTCCAACAGGGTTCGGTCGAAGGGCCGCTCCAGTTCATCATAGCGTATAATGTCGTCCTCACAGCGCTTCGAGTTGCCAAGGAGGAGCGCGCCATCCCGCCGCTCATTGCCACCCCGGACCTCGGGGGCGTCCCCACATGTCTCCATGTGTCCCGCGTGTGCTTTGTTGACGACCGAATCGCGCTTGTTGTCTTCGTGGGTTGGACAGAGGTCACCGATTTCATTGCCATCGCCGCGCCAGTGCTGCGGTCCAAGGACTCACATGAACATGCCCAAGACGGAGGTCATTGCAGTGGCTACTGCCCGTGGATCTCGACGCCTTAACAAGGATATTGGCGCACGTTCGACGGAGGCGATGTGTGACGGACGCCCTCTCCACCCGCAGGGTGCAGCACAATATTTGGAACTTCAGATTTCAGCTACTGGGCGGAGTGGCGCGGCGGCGGTGGCCCGCGTCCGCAATGCGAACGTTGCTCACGCTCGCCTCGCCCCGAAAAAAGCATGTCGCAATGGTGTCATCCCTCTTCAGCTCCGCGCACGACTGCGGCGCTCATTGGCGCGCGCGATCGCCCTGCACGGTCAGGAGGTACGTATCTTGAGCGACGGGGCCCTGGCCAATCTGGAACAGTGGCAAGATACAAAGCTTCGCAGCGTGGCAGAGCTTCCAGCCCACATGACAGCGACTACGAACGAGGAGGCACGCCGACGTCTTAAGGTGCACACTATCCAGTCTGACTTGCGCTACCCACGACTCTTGCGGTGGAGAGGGATGCCCTTGCCATCTACAAGCCTGCGGCTGCCCCCTATGATGCCCCGATTGCTGTGAGAACGTGCTCGCTGGGCACCTTCTCCTGTGAACGGGCGGGCGGAACAACCGACCGCCACAGGCAATTGCTTACTGATCTGGCGTGCTTGTGCGCTGCTCTCCCGCCAGAAATGCAATGTCAGCCTGCTCTCCTGGGTCCGTTTTCCCCCGGGCTCTTCAGATGGCCCCTGGAGCTCCCTAAGGCGCGCCTCGCTATGGTCCGCAGTTTCCGTTCGACGGTTGAGGATCGACGCAAGCATAATCGCGCTGCGGTCCCTGGAGGGCCCGCGGGCGGAGGAGGTGACGGAGGAGGCCATGCTGTGGGACGTCCTGATGAGGTTCACCATCGCTGCCACATCTGCAACCTTGAGTTTCAGAACGGCCGTGCTCTCAATATCCACCTAGGTCGCCAACGCCATGAACATATGCCGGGGGTGGCACCGACGCAGATCCCCTCGCTCCAGCGTGCTAGATGCGGGGCCCAGTTCACAATAATTGGCTCCCTCAAGAAACACGTGCGGGGTCGTTGCCGCGCTGCCTTTGCTGTTAATGCTCAAGCCGTGTCGGGTGGCCCACCGCGACGCCCACCACCGCCCCCCCCCCCACCCCACATGGCCTATCTCTCGACGTTCAAGGGGGCGCCCGAGGGAGCCCCAGCCAAGCCCGCCAAACGCCAGGGGGCCGAGGGCGAGGAGGCGAACGGCAGCGGGGACGCCAGCTCTTCCATGCCCAGCACGGAGCGGGCGCCGCTGAAGGAGATGGCCAAACTTGTTCTCCAACGCGAGGACAGCCACCGCGCCGCCCACCGCGACAACAACGTGGTCCTCGAGCTCGACAGCAAGGCCAAACTGAAGCTGAGCCTGGACCGAGCGGTGGACTCCAACGGCCCCGAGGGCACGGCGGCAAAGGCGGCGGCCGCGGAGACGGGCGAGGCGTGCAAAGGGCATGCCCAGGGCGAGCGCCCCGACGCCCTGTTCCGAGCGGTTCTGCACCACTTATAATTGGCCCTTCGCGAGCAAGAAGCTGCCCTGTGGGAGGACATGACCGAGAGCGGCCAACAGCAGGTCCTCCTGGCCTCGAAGGCGGTGGTGGCAGCTGGCGAGAAGGCTCCTCTGAATCGCTCGTTCCAGGCGGCGCGCCGCTTCGTCGTGGAGTGTCAGAGCAGCGAGAAGGAGGGCGAGGTCCGTTGGATCGCGGCGGCCGACCGACACCGCGAGCTGCCCGAATCCATTCGCACCCTCCGCCAGGCGTCGAGGTGGCAGCGGGTGGCGGGCACGCAGATCGACGACGACCATGCCCCAAGCTCCAAGGGCGCCAACAAGGTCGAGGAGCTAGTATTCAAGCCCAAGGCAAAAGGCAAAGGGAAATAATCAGTGAACTTGAAACGGATCTTGGGTATTCTTCCTCGCTGAGGCCTCCCGATTCGTTTCGCTTGCCAGCCAGTCTTTACTTCCGAGCGGCTGCTATGTGTAGTTGTCTTAGTTGTCTCTCCCTGTCTGGTCGGGATCATCGCGGCTAGATTTTGCGCCGACAGCTCGTTGCCGCCAGCCGTGCGGCTGGGGGGTCGCTGACTGTCAGGCGACGGGCCCATCGGGGGATGGGCGCCTCGCGTGATGTGTCCGTGCACGGACACGTGCGCAAGCCTCTTGTCGGTAGGCCTTGTGGGAGCTCGCGGGACCTCTTGGTTGGGGTTGCGGTAGTGGAAAAACTGCATTGGGCGCGCACCGTTGGTTCTGGAGTATATTCACACTATCGCTAATTAGAAGATCCAGATCGCACCGGGTAGCTCGCTGGCGGATGGCGGGAAGCGTCATCGAAAGGCTTTGGCTCGAATGGTTTCCGGCGGCATTCAGGAGTCTACGGGTCCGCAAGCCCACGCAGCGCGTGCAGCGAGCGATGGCAAAGCCATGTGTTCTAGTCCTCTCTGTGCTGGCCATCGCCATTGAGCTATTAACGTCGCTCTGAAGAGCCGAGCGCTGTGGGTCGGCACGATACCCCTGGAGTTTCGAGAACGTCAAGGGGCAGAAGCGCCGAGACGATTTCGTGCACAGCCTCAGGTGTTACCACAGTGCCTTCCGCGCCATTCTCGCCAGAGGGCGGGCATGGTTCAAGGGCGGCGTCCACGAGGGGCAGGGCGCAGTGGAGACGCTGGGATGGCTGGATCATGTCATCCTCTCTCCGTCACTTCTTGTTACACAAGTCCTTGGAAGCCCGAGGTGCAGGTTTTCCAAACTATGGTATTACAACGCGGTGGCGCTCCTCAGACCAGGACGTTTCGACGAAGTGTTTTATCTACTGTTGCTGCTCGGGTCGGTGTCCTGTGGGAGTGCGAGCACCGCATGGCCTCGTCGCCCCGCTCATCTCGATTTTGCATAGATCGCGTTGCCAAAAGAATTGCGCTTCGTCGTTGAAAGCAAGGTGCATCCAGATGGCAGGTGGAGAGACTAGTCGGGCTCCGGATCGCTCGTGGCAGCTCTATTGGCTTTTACGCGTTGGGTGATTACGCACCTGCGGTCAGCCTTCAAGTTCGCTCCGCCACAAACTAGGCACATGCAGCGCGCAAGGCCCGGCACTTTTTTTTCACTCGCCAAGTTTAAAGGGGCCCGCGCGGATGGGAATTTTGGCACCCTCGACCAAGCTCCGCGCGCATGTCGCGCGGAAGTGGTGTCCCGCGCGGGCGTTGCGTATGGTTCGTTCGACGAGTCGCGCGAAAGCGGCCGCGCGAGAGCGGGCGAAATACCGACCCCGCCCAAGCGCCTCGCAGCTTGTTAGCGAAAGCGGCCGTGTCGTGCCAGCGCGTTGCAGCCCGCGTTTTCGCCGTGGTCATCCGAGGTGTTGCCTATCCCTTCCCTGCGCGGCCCGCGCCGTTTTCCTTTCGCAACGTCGTTGGAAGCGGGGCCGCGCGCGAGCGCCTTCAGTTCCCGAGGTGGGGCCGCGTTCCTCCCAATATTGAGTTGTGCCGCAATTGATCCCCATGTTGTGCGAGGGGATGGGCGGGGGCTTCTGACGCGCTCGACCTGGCCAACTTGACCCCCAACTCCTAAGCGTGATTCTCCAGGTCGTGTTGATGCGCTTGCTTCTGCAAGTGCTGACCCAGCTACCAGCAGCAACGATACCGCAAATGGGCAAAAGTTGATTTCACGATCGATGGGCGGCAATTTGAACACCCCGGATTGCCAACACAATTTCTTTTTCCTGCAGATACGGCGGGGGCGTTGGTTAAGGAATGTGCCCAGGAGGCTCCAGACCCCGGAAGATCCATTATCTTATGAGTGTGGTGGCGATACCCACGGCCGCTCCACAATTGAACGCCGCTGGCTTCCAGACCCTGGATTCCCTATGCAAGGTTTCCTTCTCCAATGCCTCCGCCGTAGTGCGAACATGATCTTTGGCTTGACGGGCCATGACGCCCAGTGGGCGCTACGCGTGCGAAGTAGAATTTGCAGAAACTGTGGTGCCCGAGGGGGGGAACCAAAGGGTGCGATGGGGGAAGAACATATGCAAATGTGTGGTCGGAATCAAAAGAGAAAATGGTTTTGATAGGAGCTACAAAAGCAGCGACGGGAGACACGGGCTCCCCCCGAGGAGCGAGCACACGGTCTGATGTTCACCTTCTGCATGCCACGAGCATCCGAGCAGCCACGTGATGAGATCGTGCAGCTTTTCGGTGCACTCGGTCACGTGCTTCCCCCCATCCATTCTCCACCAGCCCTCTGCCCTCTCCTTTCCCTACCCCCGGCTCCATTTCGGCCCAAGTCGCGCCATACACACACGCACGTGCTGAAAAGGACGGTGCTCGATTGCATCAGCCTTTTCAGAACCCGCACCCTCGGCCTCATCACACAGTGATGCGCCGCCTCTCCGTGGCGAGCATCTTCCTCCGTTCGTGCTACTCCATCAGCATCCGCCCCGATGTTGGGGACGACTACGACCCCGATGTCGGGTGCAGAGACGCAGCCCCCGGCGAATGGTGCCACGCCGTCGTGATGTGGGCCAAGGATCGAACGATTATCAACGCTCTCGGCATCAGAGCATGGGAGCTCGGTGTACCCTCTGAAATTCCGTTTTCAGCGTCGGTTCGCGTTTGGGAGCCGATGAGATGGAGCCGATTTAGCGTCGGCCAGCGTCGATTGGCGTCGACCCAGCGTCGATTAGCGTCGAGTTAGCGTCGACGAGCGTCGATTCGCAAGAGCGGACAAGATGGTATGGGAGGCTCGCATGGGTTGCCACCGAAAACGTACGTGTACCGAGACCGAGCGGGTCTCCGACAGTTCATGCCTATGCCGTTCCCGGACCCCCTCGCGCCGTGGAAAAAAACACGCCGGCAGTTTTGTGTTCCGCCCCTGGGGGCCTTGCTGGGTCCAGGGGCTGTCAAACAACGACTCCGGATGAAAAGCCAGTCCAGGGAAAGGGGTCGAGACTTCTAGGGTCGACGTTGTGAGAAGATCGGGCCGGGCGAAAGGGGGGGATAGCAAAGGGGGGGGGGGGGGGGGGAGAATCTGCATGCAGCAGATTGCGTAACCCCCCGCTTCCCGATCCCCCCCTTCCGTTCGGCCCGAGAGGGGCCCCGAGAAGTGCCCCGCCGCTCTTCCGCAGGAGATCGGCTTCGAGCAGCGCCCGGGCTGGCTGCCAGGCGGGGCCGTCCCGCACCGGGCCCGGGAGCTCCAGGCGCTCCTGCACCGGCACGGCGAGGCCGGGTGCCCGCGGCCCTGCCCCCAGGAGCGAGGGTCGGCGCCGGTGGCGCGCAGAGGGGCGCGCTCCTCCGAAACTCCTCCTCCTCCTCCTCCTCCTCCTCTTCTTCCTCCTCCTCCTCCTCCTCCTCCTCCTCCTCCTCCTCCTCCTCCCCTTCTTCCTTCTCCTCCTCCTCCTCCTCTTCTTCCTCCTCCTCCTCCTCCTCCTCCTCCTCCTCCTCCTCCTCCTCCTCCTCCTCCTCCTCCCTTGGTCCTCTTTCGCTTCCTGGCCAAACCCGGTGATGCCACGCGCCGCCCCGTCAAGCAGCCCGACCGTTACGGGGCACCCAGCGCGTGGCTCTTGCTGTCGCTTGGGTTCCGTTTGGAAGCGAGGGCGGTCGCAAGCGAGGTAGGTTCGTTTGCCTCGTATTCGGGAGGCTGACAGTATTCCGCCGACCCCCAGAAGAGGGATGAAATGCAGTCCACGGGGAGGTCTTTGGGGACCTCTTGGGGGCTCTCTGGGGGCCTCTTTTGGGCCTCTTGGGAGCCTCTTCGGGCCTCTTGGGAGTTTCTTGGGCGCCTGCTGGTGGTCTGCGGGGTCCTATTGGGGCGGAGGGCTCGGGATGTCAGATCGAGCTGCCTCTCTTGGGCCCCTCTTGGGGCTCTGTTGGGGCCTTGTTGGAGCTCTCTTGGGCCATCTTGAGCGCGTCTTGGACCGTCTTTGGACCCTCTTCGGCCGTCTTGGGGCTTTCTTGGAGGCTTCTTTGGCCGTCTTGGAACGATCTTCCCTTGAGACGTATTGGACGCTTCTCAAACCCAAGATTTAAACATGATCTAAATACTCGAAACATTTGTTTTCCCTACAGATGTTGAAGATCTTTGCTTTGGGGTGCACTCTCGGGGAACCTCTTGGAGCCCTCTTTGGGCGTCTTTGAGGCCTCTTGGGCAGTCTTTTGGCGATCCACCTCGTCTTTGAGGACTTCACGGCATGTTGGAGCCCAGCTCGAGCCAGCTTAGATGGCATCTTAGGCATCCTGGATGCCACAGAGTGTGGAAGTGGAGGCTCCAGAGGTCTCTCATTCTCACTCCCGTTCTTTCCCATCCCCCTCCTCCCTCCTGCCCGATGCCACTGCCTTCAGCTGTGCCATTGCCTTCAGCCTCCCGCAGGAGGCCGGCTCTTCTTTCTTTCTGCCCGCCTTTCTGGGGCAGAGGCCTCGAGGCGTGCCAGCATCAAACACGGCGCCATTGCCCACGTCTGCGCCCCACCACCACACGCCCGCTGCATCACCAGCCCTTCCCCTCAAAACCTCCCTCTTCAAAACTTCCCCCTCAAGACTTCCCCGCCAACCCCAGCCCCAAGGGGCGCGCGGATGCTCGCGCGCCGCGCCTCGGGCGGCGCGGGGCGCGAGGCCGGGCCTGGCGAGGCCCCGTGGGCTGTCTCCCGCGCGGGCCCCTCGAAGGCCCCCCGGAGTGGTCGGTGATCCTTAGGACGCGTGTTAGCCCAACGTGTGTTTACCCCATTCAGCCCAGTCAGTGGATCATTTCATCGCCTGGGTCGTAAGGGCCTCGATGGACAAACACACTTGGGGCTAACACACGTTCTGAGGATCATCGAAGTGGGGCTCGCGGGAACTTCCCAGGCCTCTCTGTGCCTCGCGCCTCTGCAGGCCGGCGCCCACGGCAACGGCTGGCAGCGGCGGCAGCGAGTGCGGCGACGGCGACGGCCATGACGACGACGACGACGACGACGACGACGACGACGACGACGACGACGACGACGACGACGATGCCGACCTGAAGGACCGGGCGGGCCGGACGCCCGCGTTGTCGCTCCTCCAGCTCCAGAGCTCCGCGGCCCAGGCCATGAGCTCCATGAGTGCCGCGGCCCAGGCCATGGGCTCCGTGAGCGCCACGGGCCATACAGTGGAAACCCATGCCAAGAAACACGCTGCTTGTCTCCAGGGTGCCCCGGTTTTCTTGGGTTGTTTGACGGTTTTGCTATGGAAGGCATGACGTTCCCAGACCGAAAAACCAATGGGCGCCTTGGGGTCTCAGGGTTGGGTTCCTTGTCTTGTGGAAGGTTTCTTGTGGTCGAGTTGTCTCTCTGTTGTACATGGCGGTCATATCTTACGCTGCCAGCGCGAATTTCAAAGTTTAGCGTGCATGCCAGCGTTCGCCGCAAATGCTGAGACCGCACGAACATGATGACAATACTCGACTGTAAACTGAAACTGTTTTTTGTGCCGTTGCCCTTCCCGCGGGTATGCCTGGCTTCCTGGGGGGAGGACCTCGTCGCCGCGGCCGGATTCGCCTCGGAGTCCTGGTCAGAGCTCGCCTAAGGAGAGATCCGTGGAGTAGCCGCGTGGGCACCTTTTGCTCGATCCCCCCACCCCCACCAGGCCCAGACTATGAGCTCCATGAGCTCCGCGGCACAGGCCATGGGCTCCATGAGCTCCGCGGCCCAGGCTGTAAGCTCCAGGAGCCGTGCGGCACAGACCATGAGAATGAGCTCCAAGGCTCGGAGCACTCTCGGCCTGAACCACGCGCTCTTCCAGGCTGTGATGGAAAGAAGCCTGCAGCCGAAGGCGAGCGCCTTGTCCTCCTCCACCGTCCTTCCTTCCTCTGTCCGCTTGCTCCCACTCCGCCCACCCTCCTTCCCTCCTCCTCCTCCTCCGTTCGCTCTTCCCGTTCCGTCTCCTTGTCGATCTTCCGTGCCCCGGCCTTCCCCACGCCCTCCCACAGGCCCTGCGCGAGAGCGAGGCCCGCAAGAGGGGGTGCCAGGACGCGGAACCTGGCGGCCTGTGCTACCAGGCGGCGTCATGGCTTCACGACAGGGGAGCCCAGGGGCAATAACGCCCTCGTGCTCGGCGAAGTTCTCCCCCCCTCTCTCGGAGGCTCGAGTTTTTTGCAAGGCCAACTCGGCGACTACCAAGCATGTGGTTACACCAGGGTGGTGTTTGCGACCTGCGTCGTTGGGGCTCGGGGGGGCACCACGGTGCCCTCGTCGGGCCTCCCCGGGGCGCGGCGGAGAACCTGTCGAGGTCCGCGCCCGCCCCGCAGGGTGCGCTTTGCAAACCACACCCTTTGCGAACCACACCCTTCGGAGTAGCCGACCTTCGTTTGCTCTTAAAGATTTTCCAGCCTCGGGATACTCTCCAGCAGCTGCGCCTCGCCGAGAGCGTTCTGGGTTTCGCCTGGATCATCCCGAACGGCCGCCGGAGACGCAGGTTATGGCCAGAAGCTTCGGCCAGGGGAGAAGGCGCAAACGACACCGATACTGCTGCTCGTCCTGGACAGTTCGTCACTACGGCTAGATTCTCGTCGAAAATCAGGTCAGAGGGCACCCGGGCAGAGGTACTGGGGAGTAGCGGTATCACTGCTGGTTAGTCCCCCCCAAACCCTTCCCCTCGTAGAGCATCTCCCTCATTGTGCAGCTTCTGCCTTTTTCCCCAAGCAGGCTTTGCCCAAGGGGATCTTGCTCGTTTGTGAAAAAACCTTGGTCAGAGGCGGTTTCCAGCGCTGCTCGGGGTTCCTCGGTATTGCTTGGGGTTCTTCGAGGTTCTTTCGTCAGAGGGGGCCCCCGTCATTTCTCGGTGCTCCTCGGCGCTATGCCAAGCAACGCCACGCAAAACCAAGCAATGCCAAGCAGATGAGTCCATGCAACGCCAGACAATGCCAAGAGATGTCTAACAACGCCAAGCGATGCAAGCATTGCCAACAACTATTCCAAGCAATGACAAGCAACATCAAGCAACGCCAAGCAATGCCAAGTAATGCCAAGATTTGCCAATCAACGCTAAGCAACGCAAAGGAATGCCAAACAATGCCAAACAACGATTCCACGCAATGCCAGGCAAAGCCCAGAAACGTCCGGGAATGCTTGAGTTGCATTGTTTTGCCCTGCCGAGAACTATTTCAAATTGCTGTTGAAGAACGAAGACCCGAATTGGGTTCGCGCCGGTTTCACCCCTTCGTGGTCACACCGGAGGGTCAGTACAATTTTCAGCAGCTAACGTTTATTGAGCTCTTCGGAAACGTGGGGATAGTGCACCAAGTCATTTGGCTTGTGCGTGCGTCGCCTCTGTGATACAAGAGCAGACTCGATCTGTGCAATCCTCCCGAAACTCCTGTAACCCTCCCTCCCCGGGTTGAGGGTGAGAAGGTGGGATGTACAGCCAACACTCTGGAAGAATGGCCACGTTGCTTACAGACGGGGCTCAGGATTCCTTGCATCCTCTCTCTTAGCTATCCCTGGACATATCTTGGGCAGTCCTCGTGCATCTAGTTGCAGCTGGGGCGTACAACTAGCTTCGTTCCTGATTTAGACGACTTACGGGAATGCTACAAATTCATGGGCAAGTCGTTGTCCGCGTTCGTCCTGCCAGGATTGGAGAGCCACCCCACGTGGTTCCCGTCGCTCAGTCCGGACTCCACCATGCAGGAGGTGCAGTCTGTTTTGTACACCCTCGGCAAGGCGACCTGCCCGAGGCCATGCCAGTCCAAAATTGCAACGCGGCGGGCGCAGTCAGACGACGACAGAGTGCTGGAAGTCGATGACAGCGGCCGGCAGGTGTTGAGCGAGGCATACGAGCTCTCGGAACCCACAGACTGCGGCAACACTGTCGAGGGCGATTGGTGCTACGTCTCCATCATGTGGCTGAAGGACACGGGTCTGGACAAGCATTCTGATTGGTACCCCACGCTCACCCACCAGTCCAGTATGGAGGCCTTCCAGACCGTGCTTCACAATCAAGGCAAGGTTGGCTGTCCGCTCCCCTGCTCGTCGAACTCCACTGCACCAGAGCTGAACGAGGCGCTGGTGCCGTCGGATCCTGGGGCCGCGGTGAGCGATTCCGCCTTGAGGTACGAAGCCGAGTCCGCCGAGTGCGAGGACGCGGAGGAGGGCTCGCAATGCCATAAGGCGATCTCGCGCGTCATGGACGTGGGCCTCTGGCTGCACCCGGAGGAGTACCCGGAGCTCGCTGCGGACTGCACCCGCCAGGAGATTCAGGAGCATTTGTATCTGCGCAGAAAGTACGGGTGCGGCAGGCCTTGCCCCGAGGAGAAGATTTTGAGACATCATAATGAGGATTTGACGGTAAAGGCTAGAAGGCGTGTCAAGAAGAGTGTGGAGGAGATGACAGTGGAGGAGCTCCAGATGTACCTCAGTCATGCTTGGGACGGCCTCGTCAACGCCGACGAGTACGAGGAGGAGAAGAAGGAGATCGAAGGCGCCGCCTCCAAGAACGCGCAGCCTCACATCAGGGCCAGGAAGGGCAAGCACGCCAGGGGCGCCAACTCCGCCGCCACCGCCGCCGCGGACGACACCTCCGCCACCCCGACCACCACGAGCGAGTCGGTCGCGAAGAGCCGTGCCCCCGCGGAGGGCATCGCCGCTGAGAAAGCCCTGGAGCGGCGATTGAAGGGCTTGAGGGGTGAAAGGTGGGGAGGCAGAGGCACACGCGAGAGGAATGCGAAGGATCAAAAGCTGCTAAGCCGATGCCAGAGGTAAAGGAGAGGTAAGGACTGGCATTGATGAGGTAACGTGAGACGAACGATGATGTACCCATGTGAGTTCATAGGTACACCAGACGTAACCGTTAGCCGACGGGGGGTAGCCCAAAGGAGTTGATAGCGAAGCAACTGATACATGGAATTGAAGCAGGAGGGGACAATAGCTAACCCAATTGAACTACATGTAGGCGAGACTTGAACGAAGGTCAAGCATGAGCAAACCGATGTGCAAAGTATGCCTCAGTGTGCGTAGACGGTAGCTCTGAAGAGGTGGCTTGAGTGTAGCATAATGCAAGCAGGTCAAGCTTGGATCAAGCTTGATGCGCCGCTGAGCGCGGCGAAAGCTAGCAGCACACGCTACGAGAAGCAGCGAGCCTGATGGGCAGCCACATGTAAGCATATATGACTGAGCGGTTGCCAGCGGGCGGGCAACAATACTCTACATGTACATGTACACACATACATGCGCAGGTGCATATACACATGTCTAGTTACATGACGTATCAGCACATATCTACATATATTTAAATGCATACACACATATGCTTGTTTCTATCAGCATGTTCGTGCTTAAATGTTGACGTGTTGCTGTAGATCTGGGCACGGCGCCAGATGCTTGAACTCAAGGGCATTCACAATCCACACGGGAGGAGCTGGGATTTTCCCGAGCGGGACGGTCTTCCGGCTCCATGGGAGTGGAGTCAGGATCACCACTTCGGGTGCCCAAGACAGCCAACGAGGGCCCCAAAGCGGCCCAGCAGCGCCCCAGCATCGCCCAGCATGTCGTCAGAACGGCCCCACAGGCCGCCCGCCGCTGAAAAGTGCACCGGCCGGGCCCCAAATAGGGCCCCGGAGCGAGGCTTCCGGAAGGAGCCGTCAAGAAGACCATTCCACGTGCGAGGGGGCCGCGGGACGGTTCAACACGTGCGACGATGTCTGCACACGGCAGCGCGATGTGACATGTCTACGGGCCCACGCACCACATGTTGAAGAATATTCTCGAGGCACTCCGCCAGAATATTCGCAGTGCAGTATATATATATATATATATATATATATATATATTGGTATGTATAGCCCGTGCCTCGCCCTCACATTCCTGACGAGCCCTCGCCTAGTTGGACGAGGCGAGCACGTTCGCCACGCCCACGAAGGAGCGCCACTCGCACGCAGCATGCGTGTGACGCTGAAGTGCGAGCGATGCCGCCCGCTCGGAACCCTTGCAGGCAACATTCCTGCACAGGAATTAAATGTTTGTGCTGAAGTGGGCCCAGTGTTCTATGGACCATCCGATGGCCTCCATGGGATCTCATCTGGCGCTCCTCGGGCATAGGGGCGAATGCGAGGTCCCAATGGGGCCACTGCATCAGCTCCCCTCCAACTTGACTTGCCTCATAGGCCTCACCCCGCGACCCCAGAGAGCCCCCCGTACCCCTCCGAGAGGGCCCCAAATGGCACTCGCGCAAGCAGGCGTAGTTAAGGCCCCGAAGTGGCTTCCCTTTGACTGTACCAGGCCGAACGCAAGGGGAGCTCCCGACCAAAGGTGCGCGAAACCTTTGTGACCCTCCAGTCTGGGGTTGCCTCTGGGCTCTCAGGCTCAGCCCTGGGAGCACTGGGGGGCCATTTTGAGGCGGTAGTCGACGAGTGCCTGGGCCCTCTGTGGTACCTCGGGTAGCCTCCTGCATCAATCATCTGGGGGCGTATCAGGCGTTCCCCCCGAGTCGATGCCGCAGCGCGTAATTCAAAGCGGGATTCGGTGTTGTAGCCTGGTTGCGAGCGTCGCCAGCCCAGTGCGGGACTGCCGGCTACGCGCCAACGGCACACAGACGAAACATTGCGTGGCACGGCACCGAGCAACCCGCATGCGGATTGTCCTCGACATGTACTGGATCAACTTGCTGCAAGGCGTAGCAGTCCCAGGCAGTTCAAAGCAACGGCCCCGCAATATTACACGGTGTGCCCCTCTACGTGCGTCTGCGCCAGAACCAAGGTTCACATCGGGGCGTGCCTTTCTACAAACCGTATTGTGTTCGAGGGGGGGAGAAGAGCATCCACCGTGGAACAACCGTGACGAACCCAAGCGCGCTCGAAGAGCCTGGATGGTCCTGGCCTGTACCTGTGTCAGGTGGTGTTCAGCCTACTCCGCCGCCGCGCTTGGGTTGCAGGTCAGAAGCCTTCGGGATGCTTGTGGGCATCTCTTGTGAGGCCGTTCGGTAGCCTCTTTGGGGCGGTTTCGGGATTTCTTTTGGGCCGCTTGGAGCCTTTTGGGGCTCAATTTTGGACCTCTCAGGAGCCACTTGGGGGTCTCTTGGGCGCCTGGTGGCGGTCTCGGGGGCCCTCTTGGGGCGGACGGCTGTCAGTTCGCGTTTCTTCTGAGGCCTCTTGGGCCTCTTTGGGGGCCCGCTTGGGCCGTGTGGGGGGCCTCTTGGACACTGTTGGGGCCCTCTTGAACCGCCTGGTGGCCTTCTCGGGGGTCTCTTTGGCAGTCTTAGGGCGATTTAGGGGGCTTCTTGGGCCGTCATGGAGCGTCGACAGCCCGAACAGGTGAGGATGCTAACGTCAGTCAACTATCCAGGGACGATACATGCTTTGGCCTCTCGGGGCCTTCCTGAGAGGGCCTCTTGGAGCCCTCTTGGAGCGTCTTGGGGGCCCCTCTTGGGCCGTCTTGACCATTTGAAATGCCTTTAGGCGGCCCCCTGGCCCGTTTCGATCCCCTCTTGGGCCTCTCTTGGCTCCGAGAACTTATGCGACCAGCCCAGCCGAATTCACCCAGGACTGGGGACAACTTCAACTCGTGCCTAAGGGCACGGTTGCGGACACATGATGTATGTATACCTATACATTTATATTTAATCGCTTCGCTCATTCCGCCGGCCCATACAGTCTCATGTCTGCCGTTTGCCCGAGGGCCTGGTGTCAATGCGGCGCTTTGGGGGTTCCTGGGGCCGCTTGGGGGACTCCTGGGGCGCTCGGGGGGGCATTTGGGGGGCCTCCTGGGGCCGCTTGGGGGACTCTTGGGGGCCTCCTGAGGGCCCCGTGGGGGCCTCTTGGGGCCTCTTAGGGGCCTCGTAGGGGCTTCTTAGGGCCGAGGGCTCGAAATGTTGTTTCGTGTTCCCTCTCTGGGGCCCCTTTGGGGGCGTTCTTGGGGCCCTCTTGGACCGTTTTGGAGGCTTCTTGGGCCGTCTTCGAGCCCTCTTGGGCCATCTTGGGGCCCTCTTGGGTGCCTCTTGGGCCCTCTTGGGGCGATCTTGGGGGCCTCTTGGGCCGTCTTGGGGCGTCGGGAAGCCGAAAAGGTGGAAGCTCCAAAATCTCTCAAAAACCTATGGAAAAACAATGATTTTTGCCTCCGGGGGCCCTATTGGGAGTGCTCTTGGAGGCCTCTTGGGGCGTCTGGGGGCTATCTTGGGCGTCTTGGAGCGATCTTGTGGCATGTCGGACCCCTCGTGTACCATCTTGGGGGCCTCTTGGGGGCCTCTTGGCCTTTCTTGGGGCTCTCGGGGACGTCTCGGAGCCCTGTTGGTGCGCTCATGGAGCGCTCGGGGGGACCCGGCCGGGACCCGGCCGGGGACCGGCCGGGACCTGGTCGGGGTACTTTTCGTCCGGGGACCCCCAGGGGCCGCCCCGCGCGCGCGAACTAGAAAATTGTTAACCAGTTACCGGAGATCTTAGCACGCCTCTGGCCCGTTGGGCCGGCGAATTTTTATACGCATGCAGTTACAGTCACCAGTGTATATTCACACGAGGGGAGAGCGGCATGCCAATTTCATGTTGATTAAATGCATCTGGTGGGAAGGATTCATATGAGGTTGGTAAGCCAGTCTCAGCGAGATGTAAGCGAGATGTCAGCGACGAGGGTTTCACGAGGGTGCTATCGGAAGCGAGGACATCAGATGTGGCACGAGCGCGCCGAGGTTGCTCCTCTGTGCGCTCTCCGCTCCTCTTCTCCCGCCCCTGCCCCCCCCCCAGCTGCCCCCGCGACGCCGGCCCTGCCGAGGAAGGGGGGCGCCGCGGCAGAGAATACCGCACGGCGCCTCTTGCCCTGACGTCCGCCGAGGTGTGTTGTTGGTTTTTGCAGCCCACGGCCCCAGAGTTCGGCATCGCTTGGACGTGTGCGTTCTGCCCACGGCGAGGACCATCGAGGAGCACCCTGGATCATGTTGCAAGAACAGAGGTCCGCGCGAAAGCGACACATGCACGGGGCGTGGACGTCCGAGCGATGGCGAGAGAGGTCCCGACCGCTTCCGCGGGCGTGACGCTCTTCGCCCCGGATCCATTCCTGATGGTCCCGGGGGCCCCGAGGCCCGATCACCCAGAGGGCCGACCTCGCAGGAACATGCCAGGATTGAAAGGCGCAGAGCACCCCGTGGCACAGAAGCGGTCCTGCAGGAGCCCGCGGCCGACGACAGCGCAGCCGTCGCGGAGCCACGACGGAGCAGACCCGACGCGCGGCGGGAGGAGAAGGCCGAGGCCGACGCTACTGTGAAGGAGCCGGCGCTGCAGTTCTCTACAGTGGAGACCCATGCCAAGGAACACCCCGGTCGCTTCCCTCCAGGGTGCCCCGGGTTTTGATGGTTTTGCGATGGAAGAGTGACGGTCCCACACCACACGTCAATGGACGTCCTGGGATCTGAGGGTTGGGTTTCTTGTGTAAGGTTTCATGTGGTCGGGCCCCTGCTGTATCTTTATGCCGATCTGTCCCTGCTGCAGGTGGCCCCTGCTGCGCGGGCCCCCTCAACCGCCGCCGAGCTGGCGCGCGCGCCCGAGCGGGGCGGCACAGCGGCCGACGCCGACCTCGCCGCGGAGGCGAAGGATCAAAAGGGGAAGAAGCACACAGACACACAGGAAAATCTAGTACATTTTCTGGACGAAGGACGCAAACATATGCAGCTGTGAGTACCGCGTTGTGGGTACCGCTCTCGGTGGAACCCCCTATGGGGCCACGATCCTCGTGAGGGGTGTGCCGAGATGGGCGGGGGCGCGTGCAAACCCTGCTGCTGGGGCCTTCGGTGGAGCTCCCTATGGGGCCACGATCCTCGTGAGGCGTGTGCCGAGATGGGCGGGGGGACGCATGCAAACCCTGCTGCTGGGGCCTTCGGTGGAGCTCCCTATGGGGCCACGATCCTCGTGAGGCGTGTGCCGACATGGTGGACATGCGGCGAACAGAAGCAGCAATGTGAGCAGGGAGGAGGGGGAGGAGGGAGGGGGTAGCGGGAGGAGGTGAGACGCGGGGCGCTGTCTTCAAAACGAAGACCCAACACCACAGGATGGTTGGGAAATATGGGAGGTGGGGGGGGGGAAGACGAATCTTCAGAAATTATCCTGGCGAAGAGCCCAACCATATGCAGTTGTGAGTAGTGCAGTTGTGGGAACCGTTTCGATGGGGCTCCGTATAGGGCCACGAAACGTTTGAGGGGTGGGCCAAAATGGGGGTGACGCCCACATGTGAGCACTGCCACTGGGGCCTTAGGTGGAGCCCCCTATGGGGCCACGAAACACGTCAAGGGTGTGCCGAAACGGGGGTGACGCCCACGTCTGAGCACTGCCATTAGCGCCTTCGGTGGTGGAGCTCTGGGGCCACGGAACGTGTGAGGGGTGTACCGAAACGGGGGTGACGCACACATGCGAACTGCACGACTGGGGCCTTTAGGTGGAGCTCCTTATGGGGCCACGAAACGTGTGAGGGAATGCCGAAACGGGGGCGACGCCCACGTGTGCCACTGGGGCCTTGGGTGGGGCTCCCTATTGTGCCACGAAGCGCGTGAGGGGTGCGCCGAAACGGGAGCGACACCCACATGCGAACTGTGCGGCATCAGGTGGAGCCCCCTATGGGCCCACGAAACGTGTGAGGGCTGCGCCAAAATGATGCGGCGGCGCCATGCGAACCCTCCATTGGGGCATTCGGTGGAGCTCCCTATGGGGCCACGAATCGTATGAGGGGTGTGCCAAATTAGGGCGGCGGCGCCATGCGAATTCCGCCACTGGGAACTTCGGTGGAGCTCCATAGACCCTGTACGGCCACGAAACGTGTGCAGTGTGTGCCAGAAATGGTGCGGCGGCGCCACGCGAACTGCGCCACTTGAGCCTTAGGTGGAACCCCCTATGGGACCACGAAACGTGTGAGGGCTGCGCCAAAATGGGGCGGCGCCGCCATGCGAGTTCCGCCACTGGGACCTTCGGTGGAGCCTCCTGTGGGGCCACGAAACGTGCGAGGAGTGTGCCAAAATGGGGCGGGGGCGCCATGCGGGCTGCGCCACTGGGACCTTCGGTGGAGCTTCCTATGGGGCCACGGAACGTGTGAGGGGTGTGCCAAAATATGGCGGTAGGGCCATGCCGACCGCGCCATTGTACCTTCGGTGGAGCTTCCTATGGGCCACGAAGCGTGTGAGGGGTGTGCCAAAAATGAGGCGCAGCGCCGCTGCGCAACTGGGACCCTAGGAGGAGCTCCCTATGATGCCACGGGACGTGTGAGGGGTGTGCCAGAATGGGGCGCCAGCGCCATGCGAACTGCGCCACCGGGACCTTAGGTGAAGTTCCCTATGGGGCCACGAAAAGTGTGACGGGTGTGCCAAAATGGGGCGGCGCCGCCATGCGAGCTGCGCCACTGGGACTGTAGTTGGAGCCCCCTATGGGGCCACGAAACGTACGAGGGGTGTGCCAAATTGGGGCGGCGGCGCCATGCGGGCTGTGCCACTTGGACCTTAGGTGGAGTTCCCTATGGGGACACGAAGCGTGTGAGGGGTTTGCCAAAATGGGACTGCGTCGCCATGCGAGCTGCTCCACTGAGACCTTAGTTGAAGCTCCGTATGGGGCCACGAAACTTGCGAGGGGTGCGCCAAAATTGGGCGGAGGCGCCATGCGAGCTGCGCCACTGGGACCTTAGGAGGAGCTCTCTATGGGGTCACGAAGCGCGTAAAGGGGTGTGTTGAAACAGAGATATCCATTCGGAGAGCCAGAGCAAGGAGGGGGAGGAGGGGGAGGAGGAGGGAGGAGGAGAAGGAGGAGACGAGGGGCGCTGTCTCTTCAAAACGAGGATTGTAGGGAAATGCGTGCAAAATATGGGGATTCCTGGGATTTGTGTCTATTTCTGTGTGTGTGTGTCCCTGGGCCCGTTCCAAGGAGCTGTGGCGGCCCCTGGGGCCGGGCGTCGAGCAGTCGCTGTTGGCGGGTTCCGGCCCGCGTGAGGGCCTCGAGGCCAGCGCGGAGGAGCTGCGGCAGCCCGGCGGGGGAGTGAGAAGGGTTGGGCCTGGAGGATTTCTCCGAAGGGCTCAGGCGACGCCTTCTCCTCCTCCTCCTCCTCCTCCTCCTCCTCCTCCTCCTCCTCCTCCTCCATCTCCTCCCTCCTCCTCCTCCTCGTCTTCCTCCTCCTCCTCTTCCTCCTCCTCCTCCTCCTCCTCCTCCTCCTCCGTTCTCCTTCGACACCTCCTCCTCCTCCTCCTCCTCCTCCTCCTCCTCCTCCTCCTCCTCCTCCATCTCCTCCTCCCCTTCCCCTCCTCCTTCTCCTCCTCTTCCTCGGGTCGCCTACGGCCATGGGGGAAACCGTGCAGGCGGGCCTTCTCAGAAGGCTCGGACGTGCAACGGACCTTCTGAGAGGTTTTCCGAGCCTTCACGGAAGACGCAGAGAACTGCTCAGGAGGCGCGAGGGATTCTGAGGAGTCCCGCCGCCTTCTGCGGAGGCCTTTTTCTTCTCACTTTTCCCCCCACCCCGCTCGCCGCCGAGAGGAGCTGTGGCAGCCCCTGTCCTAGGCTCCGCACCGTCGAACCGATCCCCATCCCGGCAGGCACCAAGGTCTCTCGGCGCCACCAGCCCCCCACGGGGGTCGGCCCCAGGCAGCCCGATGGGAGCCAGCGGGGCCAGGGCCATGCCGGAGTGGATGGGGATCGGTGCGGCGATGCGCGCAGGCGGAGCATGCGGCGGAGGACCCCACCTCGGATGAGATTTTGGCCGTGGCCGCGCACGGCTGGGCGGCATGCCGAGCATCTTTGGGCACGGCTCGCGCCCACCACGTCGACGCCGGCCTCCAGCGTGCTCTTCTGAGAGTTGGTCGTGGTCCTCCGTCTCCTTCTCCTCCCCGTCCTCGTCCTTGTCCTGTATCTCGTCCACTGTCCCTTCTCCTGGCTCTCCCCTGACATCCTCGCGTCGTGGGAACGGTCACGGCGGGCAGCGTTTTGTCGATGTCGGCCCTCAAGGGCCTTCGCTGGGCGCCTGGACCGTCGAAGACCGATCCAGGATGAACAAGTGGCCCCGGGGAAAGGGGTGCCGACCTCCAGGGTTCCACGTTGCAGGAGAAGCAACAAACGACGCCAGATGTCTGTGTCTACCTACCTGTCCTTCCGCCTCCGTCTGCCGCAGAGGCTGGGTCCACATTGATGCGGGTGGTTGCCTCTGCCAGCACTTGGCGTAGCCCAGCCCGCAACCAGACTACGCGATGCGTATCTGCTGGATTTAACAAATTGGTAGGCAGCGCCCTCATCCTCCGCACCATCTTCCTCCTCTTTCCTACTCCCTCCTCCTCCTCCTCCTCCTCCTCCTCCTCCTCCTCCTCCTCCTCCGCTCCTCCTCTCCTCCTCCTCCTCCTCCTCCGCTCCTCCGCTCCTCCTCCTCCTCCTCCTCCTCCTCCTCCTCCTCCGCTCCTCCGCTCCTCCTCCTCCTCCTCCTCCTCCTCCTCCTCCTCCTCCTCCTCCTCCTCCTCCTCCTCCTCCTCCTCCTCCTCCTCCTCCTCCTCCTCCCTCCTCCTCCTCCTCCTCCTCCTCCTCCCCCCCCCCCCCCCTCCTCCTCCTCCTCCTCCTCCTCCTCCTCCTCCTCCTCCTCCTCCTCCTCCTCCTCCTCCTCCTCCCCCTCCTCCTCCTCCTCCTCCTCCTCCTCCTCCTCAGCCGTTCTGGCTCAGGCGTCTTTCCTGAGCTTGCAGCAGCATACCTCTTCAGAGCGGCCACGTGCTGCTGCGAGCCTTTCTTTCTTCAGGTGAGCTCCTGCTGGAGCAGTCAGCGAGCCCCCTCGGGGGCAGATGAGCAATGAGGGGCCCGTGCTCCCTGGCCCGAAGCAACCGTTCTGGGCATGCGGAGGATGTGGCCTCAACACCAACTGGGCCTCGCGGATCCAGTGCAGGTGCGGCAAGTCAGCCCCCCAGCGGGTGGCGTCAGCCGCGAAGCAGAATGCGAAGAATAATGATGGCAACGGGAATGGGCGGTCTCCTCCTGCTGGGCGTCGTAGCCCTGGTGTCGGAGGCGGCAACAATGACAAGCTGCAGAGACAGCTTGACGCCCTCCAGAAAAAGTGCGACAAGCTGGCGTCCTCTACGACCTCCACAGCAGCCCCAGCAGGCGGTGCTGGAGACGAGCCCAAGGAGGACGCAAAGAAAAGCAGATTCGTGACAGTATCAAAGACCTCGAGACCGCCATCAAGGCTGTGGGCAAGCTCAGCGACGGTGGCGGCGCGGCCAAGGCCTCCCTGGAGACGCAGCTTCAGGAGGCCAGGAAGGCCCTCTCGGAGTGCAAGCCGGCGCTCACGCAGCACACCAACACGGGCCACAAGTTGGCACGCATGGTGGCGAAGCGCAAGCAGCTCGGACAGGACGAGACCGAACAGCTTCAGTTGTTGCAGCAGGCACAGGAGAAGCTTGATTCGATCCGAGCACAACAAACGGCGTGTGACAAAGAGATCAAAGAGCTCAACCGTCAGCTTGTGCTCAATCTTCCTGGTAATCTGGGTCATGCTTCACTCAATCTCGAAGAAGTTCAACCAGGTGCTGATAAGGATGCGGTCTCGGCCATGCTCCAGTCAGACGTTTTCCAGAAGTACAAGCAGTTTTTCGAGGAGCAGCAGGTCAGAGCGGCATCGGCGGCGACGACCACGGCGGCTTCCTCTCCCTTTGATGGTGCTGGTGATGCAGCTATGCCTCAGGCTCAGCAACCACAAGCACCACCACAAGCTCGATCACCCTTCGCCAATAACGAATGGGCGGACGCATCCGATGAACCCGAGCCTGCCGACGAGGACGATCCAGACGTGCAGGAGCTCTTTTTCAGCGCCCAGCGCATTGAGAAGCGGGAGTGGGGCATCAAGTTGCAGGAGATCCTGGCCAAGCGCCAGCGGCGCTCCTAGCAGTAGTAGTGAAGTGATGCCTCTGTGCTGCGGCCTGCCCCTGTCTAGGTTTGGCCTTCCAGTGCCTCCTCCCCCTCCTCCTTCGGACTCCTCTTTGGGCACGACGGGCAGCGAGCTCTTTGAGACGTACAACGGAAACTCTTGGCCCACATTGCGAGAACGGTTGACTACCACTTCCGCTCTTATTGTGTTGGCACAGGAGATCGGATTCACCCTTGACGAGGAGGGTGGCAAGTGCGACGCAGTAGGGAAGCTGGGCTGGCGCATGCTTGCAGCACCTGCTGTTCCAGGATTGTCTGGGAAACCAAAGTGGGGAGCGGCCGTCTTGGTCCGACAGCATTTGGGCCTCAGGTGGCCTGCGGACGGATCTGGCATCGTTGAGCACGGTCGGGTCCTTAAAGTCATCGTCGACATTCCGTCCTGGCCCCCCCTCGTTGCGTTGTCGGTTTACCTGAAATCAGGCACTGGGCTTTGTGAGCTCAACCTGAAGTTACTTAAGAAAACCGGACAGGCTTTACAACACGAGCACCTCTTTTTGGCGGGCGGAGACTGGAATTTGGCTCCTAGCCGTATCGAGTCCACTGGCCTCCCCCGCCGCCTTGAGGCGGTCTTGTTCGTGCCTAAGGAACACACGTGTGTCAGCCCCTTCTCCCTCACTACCTTAGACTATTTCTTGGCCTCGAACAGTTTCTCGAGGGCGGTCGAGGGCGTGGAGGCTGCGTTAACCTGGACGGGGCGGCCCCACAGGCCAGTTCAGTTGCAGCTTCGTGATCGTGCTATTTCGTTGTACCAGTTTACTTACAGGTCGCACCAACGACTGCCCTGTGAGCTGCCTGTGGGACCGTCCCCCTGCCCGCAGAATTGGAGCATGGCTCGCGACATCGCTGAATGTGCGGCCGACGCGGCTACCTCGGCCCCCGTCGGCGAGGCTTGGGAACTTTTGAGCCAAGCGTGGGTTTACATCTCTAACACCCTTGAGCTTGAGCTCGAGTCTTTTACGGGTGTTCCAGTTACCAGCAAGGGCCACAAGGGTTCAAGGTTGAAGGCGCGTTGGATTCCCATCTTCTCTCGTCCCAAAGGTAACGCTACGAACCTGGTCCACGTCGGTTGGGAATGGTTGGCCCAGCAGCTCCGTGAAACCCTCGGGGCCTGTCGCCGCTTCAAGGAGGCGGAGCATGGAATAGGTCAGGACCCTACTAAGCTCGATCAATTGTGTCAGGACGTGAACCAGCAGATGCAACTTGTTGTTGCTCAGCCGTGCCCTGGAGAGGGACTCAGCGCGCGCTTGGACAGCACGATTGCACAGGCTCGTGAGCTAGTGCGCCGAGGGTCCGCCTCTTCAGCCACGTGGCTGACCGACCTAGACGAGTTCCTCCAGTCTTGGGAGGACGACTACGATGAGGCTGTCAAGGCCATCCAGAAGGGGAGGCAGGACTCATGGGACGAATGGCAGGAGAAGGCTTTAAGGGGAGGTGCTCGGGCGACGCATCGCCTTACCAAACTGAAACGTCGGTGGACCCCTACCACGATCGAAAGTCACCCTGGCATTTTCTCGGCCAACCCCCGGGACCTGCTCGAGGCTGAAAGCGAGGCGCTGGCTAAATTTTGGCATGCCAGCACTGCGCCGTCCACCGTGTGGGTTCCCAATAGGAATCATCTTCCGCGGCCGACGGCAGGAGATATCCGCAGCGCCAGCGCCAGCTTCTCGGCGCGCACCTCGCAGTCGCTCGACGGGCTGCACCCGCGGCAGCTCTCTCTGGTCTCCGATGCGGCCCTCGACACCTTCGGCGCCCTCGTCCAGGCTATTGAATCGTTGGGACTGTTCCCCAAACAGTTGTTCTGGTTACTCTTTCCCTTGTTGGAGAAACCCAAAGGTGGGCTCCGCCCCATACTGTTATGCGCTGGGCCCGTTCGTGTCTGGGAGCGGCTTCGCAGGCCCTGGCTTACCGACTTTAACGATCGTTTCCCCCGACGTGTTTGGGCCTTCGGTCCTGGCCGCAGCCCCGAAGATGCCGTGTGGCATCAGGCGGCCGCCTGCGAAGTGGCGGCCCAGACGGGCCAAGTCTCCCTCGGAGTCATTTGGGACGGCACCAAATACTACGAAAGTTTCGATTTAGTTTTGCTCAGGGATCGTGCGCTCAAGTTTGGATTCCAGGAAGTCATCGTTAAAACCACGTTTAACTTCTGGCGAGGACCCCGAATCGTTAGGCTTGGCAGCATGTATGGCACGATCCCCTACTTCGCCACGTCGGGCCTGCCCGCTGGCGATGGATTTAACGACCTGTTTGTCCGTGTGTACAGCCTCGAGGCCTTCGACGGCTACACGCTTGCCAACCCCCTCGTCCCCCTCTCCTCCTACGTCGATGACGATGCGATGACGACGCAGGCGGATACGGAACAGGAGGCCCTCAGTCGTATGGTCCAGGCGTGTGCGCACATGTACGTTATTTTCCGCGACAGTTTGAAGGTCGGCCTCCAGGCGGATAAATTAACCACCTTCGGAAGCTCTCTTTCGCTGGCCAGAAAGCTCGGCACTCTTCTCGGCCAGAAGGCTGGTCTCGTCACGAACAGCACCGTGTCTCTCGGCACTGATCTTGCCCCTGGTCAGGAGCGGTCGGCTCGTAACGCTCTTTGGAAACGCCGTGCTCGTTTTGGTTCCATGTTCAAGCGCCATAAGAAGTTGCAGAAGATGAGGAGCCAACTTCCACGACAGAAGGGTCGCATAGGGAAGATTTATGTTGCAGGCGTGGCTCCTGCCGCTACTTTCGGCTCGTCAGTTGTTGGATTGAGCGACTGGGAACTGTCCCAGGCCAGACGCGTCCTCCTCTCCTACAAACCCCCCTAACACCGCGGGTGCTCCCTCACGGCCAAACTTGCCTTGCACGGAGACCCCGTTGATCGTGCGAGTGTGGCACCTGCGGTTCATTGGGCCACTATCGTTTGGACGGCCATCACTTCTCCCTCGACCTCGTATTATTCGGTCAAGGAAGTTTGTCAGATGTGGTGCCGAGTGCCGTTCGACCAAGATGTGAGTTGGAAGAGCTCGAGGGGGCCCATTCAGAGAATGCATTTGTGCTTGTTTCGTGTGGGCTGGTGCGCCACGTCTGCTCTCACTTGGGAGGATGACTACGGTCGTGAAGTGCACCTAGGTTTCAACTCCCCCAGCATGGTGAGTCATTTGCTTAGGTTGGCCACCCAGCGCAGTTTTGAACGGAAGCTGGCTTCGGACCTCCTGAATGTTCCTGGCCCCCGCGTGACCCTTGACCCGCTGCAAAAACTCCTGGGGCCCAAGTCCAAGGTTTTAAGCGATCGGGAAAAATACCTTGCCAGCTCAGTTTTTTGTAGCGGAGTTTGGACCCGCGCGCGAGCTCGCGCCGCAGGATACCAGAGCGATGGTAGATGCCCCTTGTGCGGTGAGGTCGACAG